CAACTCTACTGCGCGCTGAGAAGCAAGTCCCCACCCAGTGGCAAGAGAGATCACGCCAGGCGCCCAGTGTGCTTCTACATCCAGTTTATACACAGCTCTATACAATATACAGAAACCTTTATATACAGATATATTTATAGAATAAGCTATATTAATTTGTCTCTCCTTTTTACAGCAATATTAGTGTGGATCTTTCATACATTAAGTACAAAAAAAGGTCAGGGGAGAATGGCACGTAGAGTGCGCGAGGGTGTGGGGCCCGGCGGCTCACTGCCCATTGCATACAGAGGTCACCCAGGCCCCTGGGAGGACAGGCCAGCGGGTGGCTGGGGGAGCTTGTGCTGTGGGTCTGGGGGATGGTGTGGGGTCAGTCTGAGCCAAGCTGGGCTGAGGGGGGTGGCTCAGATCCCCCAGATGTGACGTGGGGTTGAGGGAGACGTGCAGCAGACCCATCTTTCAGGGGCGAGGCAGGGAAGGAGCAGGTGAGGGGTGGGCTGACCCTGGGTGTCCAGGGCTGAGTCCAAGTCTGCCCCATCCCCAAGCCTGTACAGGTGTGGCTGCAGCCTTGGGGGTGGGGGAGTCTGTCCCTGATGGCTCAGTCCTGGGCACGGCAGGGGGGACACACCCACCCTAGAGGTCCCCAGACCCACCCAGAAGAGGAGGAATTAAAAAGGCCAGACCCAAGTCTCTCCCGGCTACTGGCCCAGGTACTTGTTGGAACCTTTGTCTAATTTAAGAATTTGTCTAGTTTTTTAAACTCTCAGAGTCAGATTCTGTCCTGCTTCTGGGCTGGGCCGAGGCTGTGCCTCAGTGGGGACAAGGTGCCTGGAATCTGGTAAGGGCAGGGCTGCAGAGCAGGAGGGGAGGCCCAGCTCCCAGTCTCTGTCCCCATCTGTCAGGGTGGGCAAGGGCTCCTAGGGCAGCCATCCAGGCCAGCCCAGCTCGGGGGTGTTGAGGTTCAGGACCAGGTACCAGTGCTCATGAGACAGGGGACTTATGGGAGCTCCAGTGGCCCAAGGAGGCTAGGGTGGGACCAGGGTGGGGGCACCATGCCTCCGAGGAGACGAAGGCACAAGTGGGCCGTCAGTGCGCCTGCCCAGCCAGCCCGGGAGCTTGTCCAGCGGCGCCGCCTCACACTGGCTGTTTCCTGGGCAGGGTGGGAGAGGCAGCAGGCAGGCAGGGCAGGCAGGGCGGGCAGCCTCCAGAGCCCTTCCTCAGGAACGGTGCACACTCATGCACATGCACACACTCGTCTGACACTAGCATGCACAATCTCCCCAACACCTGCTTCACAGGGAAGGCTGGGTTCTGCCTCCCCACTGCTTCCCGAACCCAACAGGAAGGAACCCCAATGAGGACCTTCGGCTAAACTGGGAAAGCCTTGAGCCCCTGGCCCTCCTGGTCCCTCCCCTGGGTGGTGGGTGGAGGGTCTCCAGCCAGGTCCCACAATACCCCACTCTTGGCCCCACTTCCCACCAATAGGACACTGAGGGTGGAGGGCGGTGGGAAGAAAGGCCAGCTCCCAGGAAGGAGCCCAGGCCATCGAGGACGGGGTGAGTGGGGCAGAGGTTTGTTTGGTTTCAGATCCCAGGGCCCAGAGAGGCCTAGGTATGGTGGGGTCCACATAAAGGAGTTAGGTAGGACCCTCAGAGCAAGGGACTTCGGCTGCCTTCGTTCCTCCCAGGACACTGACTCTGCAGCCAGGGGTGGTCACGGCAGTACCCACCACCCTTCGAGTGGCCAGGGTCCCGGGGGTAGAAGGTGGAAGCCAGGAAGTAGCAGGTAGGTGGAGCAGGCCAGGGGGCCCAGGAACCTCGGGCAGGGGGCCAGCTGGAGGAGTTCTGGGCAGAGAAAGGGAGGTCCCAGCCCCCTCCTCCAGTGCCCTCCGCTCTTGTGGGCCCTCTAGAGGGGCTACTGGACACATACTGGGTGTGGGGCCTTGCAAGCCCAGCAGCTTCTGTAAACATTTACAACACTGTGGGCCACCTGATGGAGGTCACCCCAGGGGACTGGCCAGCAGGCACCAGATCTGGGGGTGGCCAGGGCACACACTGGCCTGGTGAGAACACGTGCTGAGGGGCTGCTCTCCACCCCCAGAGCCCATTTACCCACGGCCAACCCTGGGACCGGGGGTGTCAGGATGCCCGTGGGGGCTGAGCTGTGAGGGCTGAGTGTGGCCTGCCCGCCCAGCAGGCTGCGCCTGGCTCCTCCTCCCTGTGCCCTGCCCTCCCCCATCATTCCCCATGGCAGGGCCAGACCCCAGCCGCCTTGGCTCTAGGGAGTCCTAAGCTGAGGTAGGGATGCAGACCCCCAGCTCAGCAGCAATGCCCATGCCTGAGGCTAACTGACCACTGGGGGCCTCTCCTCAAAGCCGCCTGGCCTGGGGGCGGCCACCAGGTGCCCACGGGGCCTCCTGCTCCTGGCAGCAGCTGCTGGGGCACTAACGTGCTGAGATGACCAGGTCATCCTGCTTGGCAGGGCTAGCCCCGCAGCCAGTGGGGGTGGAAGTCCGGATCTTGTCCGCGGCCAGGCACTCCTGGCTGCTGAGGCCTGTGGGAGTCAGGTCCATGAGCTCCCCGGAGGAGCTGAGCGGGAAGGAGGGAGAGAGCGAGATGCCTGAGGAGGGGTCGGCCGAACCAGCAAAGAGCCGTGGGGGTTTGGGCACCAGGTTGGGCTCGAACTGGGCGCGGAGCAGGATTTCTTGCTGGCTGGGGGACTTGGGGCCCTCGGCATAGTCGCTGGTGGGGCTCTCGGGCACCACCATGCAGTAGAGGTCCTGGAACGAGCTGCTCTTGCTGTCCAGGTTGAAGAGGCTGTCGATGAACTCTGCGAACTCCAGCACCTGGGGGCTGGGCGAGTCCCCCAGGCGCCCGTTGTGCAGCGCCAGCTCCCCGCGGGGCGGCCCCCCGCCACCCTCTCCTCCGGCCTCTTCCTCCTCTTCGTTGGCCGCACTGGGGGGCCGCTCAGGAGTCACCCCACCACTGCCCAGGGCTGCCTCCAGGGGCTGTGTGTCCTGTGAGTGCTTGGACAGGCTGTCGGCTGCCAGCAGCTCTGTGCGCGAGCTCAGGGAGGGGTTCTCCTCGGGGATGGCCGGGTCGATGTAGAAGAGGTGGCCCTCGTCCCGCTCCAGCACCGCGTGGAGGCTGGGGGAGCCGCGGATGCTGCGGAAGCCCGAGGAGCGGCGCGAGTCGAAGCTGTACAGGGATTCTGTGTCCGAGAGACTCTCCATGGTGGCCAGTGGCGCCCGCCGGGCCTGCAGCTCCGCGGCCAGTCGCTCCTGGGTGGACAGCAGCAGCAGCTCCACGGGGTCCTGGCGGGCCGCTGATGCGGCAGCCACGGGGGACAGCAGCCGCCCTTCGGAAAAGCCCTCCAGACTCATCTCAGACTGGGACTTGCTCCTGCAGAGGAGGCAGGGCGGGGAGAGGGGGCTCAGGGGAGAAAGGAGACAGTTCACTCAGCTGCCCTTGAATGGTGGGGGCAGGGAAGCCTTGTTTTTTAAAAATGAACTTGCAAGAACCCAAGATGGAGACAGGGCTGATGTGGGCTTGGACCCAGCGGGCCAGGGAATGAAGAACCCGCCTGGAGCACTAGAGTTCGGAGTGCCGCCCGCAGACCCTGCACCATGCCAGTCACTATATTTATGGGAGACACAGTCCTTGAGAGATTGACTGCCCCAGGTCACCCATGAGGTGACAATGGAATGGGAATACAGGGAGGGACAGGGCGAGAAGGAAGCGGAGAAAGGGGCCTGCCCCCACCTAGGACTGCCGTCATTCCTCCTCACACTGTGGTGGGTGACGGCCTCTGCTGGACAGGGAGCCCTGGCACCCCGTGCTCTGCACGTGAGCCTGCAGGAGTGGGTGGCTGAGCCGTCATCGCGGCTGAGAGCAGACACGGGCTCCCTCCTCTGGTCATGCTGCTTCCGTAGGAAACACATAAAAAGCTGGGACAGGTGTCCAGGGCTTCCTACAAGGCACTGACCACCCTTCTCAGCAGACTCCTGGCCAGATCTGTGACTAAGGGCATAGGGCCAGGGTTCCAGAAAGGCAGGGCCACCCCCCCTTGGAAGCATCACTGCCTAGGAAGTGTGCACACTGTGTCTATGTGCGTCTGCACCTGTGTCTGGCTTAGGTACACGTGTGCACTCACAACCGTCTGCCTGTCCAGGTATGGCCCCATGTACATTCTCTGCCTGTCTGTGTGTGTCCTACACATGAGCACGTGTCTGTATGGGGTTCGTGCACATGTGTACCTGTGACTCATGACTGTACACACATGACCGTGCCTGCACAAGCTCAATGCAACATGGCTTATGCACGTACAGATAAGTACGTGTCTAGCTGCTTGGGTGTCAATGAACATGTGGCCCGGCACCTGTGGGCTTGTCTGCAGAGACCCTCCCTGTCCCACACAGGAATCTCTGAGACACAACTCAGTGCTGGCAGGCTGAGGGGCAGGCGGAGCAGAGCGGAGGGGGGCTAGTCTGACCCTCCCATGCATGTGAGAGTTTTGTGAACGTATGTTGGTCCAGGACACACCATGGACTCACACTCCAAAACCACACACGGTGCCTGCACACATCCCAGGGTACGTGACTCACCTGACGGTGCTGTTGCGGTGGTCTGCAGCTGGCAGCTCCAGGGCTAGGCCAGTAGGCAGGGGTGGCCCTGTGGGCAGCGGCTGCTGCTGGAAGATGAGCTCAGGAGTCAGGTCCACCTCTGTGGGGCTCACCATGACCTTAGCAGCAGAGAGCAGAGCTGTCTTTCCCTTGTTGTAGTTCTCCAGCACCTGGGGACAGCACAGGGAGGCTGGCGGTGGAGGGGCAGCCTGCCCAGCCTGCTTCTCAGACAAAAGCCTCTTGGGTCACTGGGAGCCCATGCTCCTTCTTGCAAGGGCCCTGCTCCTCAAGGAAGGTGTCACTACGGGTGACACCTCGCCACAGACCCACAGGTTGGAGAGCCTCTTCTCTGTGCTCAGCCCTTCAGTGGCTGGCGTGGCTGGTGGTGGCTGAAGCTGTCCCTGCTTGGCTGTGCATCTGCGAAGTGCCAGGCAGCCCTCAGGGTCTCTCAGCCTGCTCAGGGACAGGTCCTACTGTGGGGTGATGTGGGACTGGCAAGAGCCAAGGGTGTGAGATGGCCTTTCTGGTCCCCCTAGGGCTACCTAGGGGCCCTGGCTGGCTGCCTAACCTCTCTAAGCCCCCTTACCCCTTGATGGTAGAAGGGGTACAGTGACCCTGCCTGTAAGGCCCCTGTGTGCTCTGATGAGGTGACTGCGTCCTGCTCTCTGTGGGGCCCACAGCTCACCTTGTTGAGCCCCTCCATGACCACATAGGGCAGGTGCTCATGCAGCATGGCCGGCGAGATGATCACCTCGTTGAAGGCCTTATTGTCACCCCAGATAGCGAAGTATGTGGGCTCTTCTTGTTCACAGCAGCTGAGGGGGACAGGGGGACACGGGGCCAGTGAGGGGTTGAGGAGGCTCTGTGCTGGGCCCCTGCTTGGCAAGGCTGGGATGGATTTGGGGGCCTCCTGCCCAGCTGGTCAGCAGGACTGTCCCTAGACCTGGCTCCTGGCTCCTGTTTCACTCTCAGCCCGGGAGAGGCTGACCTAGGGCCCAGCTGCAATGTCTACAGCCTCCTGCCCATTTTTGGTCTGAGCCACACCTGCTCCAGCCAGGGCAGGGCCCAGGTCATCCGCTCACTTGGGTACAAGAGCCCAGGCCCAGGCCTCTGGGGGAAGCAGCGTGAGGCCTGTCTGCTGGCCCACTCGTGTTGTGCTCTCGCCCTGCCGCCGTACTTGCCCACACTGTCTGCTAACTAATCCCTCGTGAGGCCAGGTAGCACTGAGCTGTAAGCTGGCCAGGGTGGACACTGGGGACAAAGGCCGGGACTGAGAGAGGGAGCCTGGAGTCCTGCCCTGGGCTGGCCTTTTGTTCCATTTCCAGGGCTCAAAGCCGGGAAACCGCCTTTGTGGGGTCAGGGGCCATCACCTTCTAGTCTCTGCCCCTGCCCATGTAGTAGCTAAGCAGAGGCCAGCGAGGCCCTGCAGCAGCAGACCCAGACCCAGACCCAGACCCCAGCGGCACCTACCAGCACTGCTCCGCAGGGTGGTTGTGCACCACATGGATGATGCGGCCAGGCGGGTACAGCGGGGTACTGGCCGAAAGGGCGATGGTCAGGTCACTGGGGTGGGTCCAGAGCCGTGTGCTGGCCAGAGTGGTCACCTCCACCTCCTCGGGCAGCTCTGACTTGGGGATGCACTTGGTGGCCCCCACAATGATTCGCCACTGTGTGGGGCAGGGGAGACAGGAACAGAGCTGAGTAGAGCTGATTGAGTGGACAGGGCCAAGGGCACTCGGAAGGAGGGCTCAACAGGTGAGAGCAGGGAGGGGATGGTGACGGGCAGGGGAAGGGCAGTGGCCGGAGCATTAAAGGTCGGTGCCCACCTGAAGAGGCAGTGGCTGAGGTGTACGGTGGCCAGATGGCCAATAAGATGCCAAGGACAGATGACATGGAATTGTTGAATTTCAGGGCTGGCAAGGGGCTGCAAGATCAGCCAAGCCCTCATCTAGTGGATGGGGAGACAGGCCAGTGAGGGCAAGGATGGCTCTAGGTCATTCCACAAGTCAAGAGGCAGAACAGGCCTCAGCTCGGGCCGGCTGTACCCACCAGGCCTGGCCAGCTCTGGGTTAGGTCCCAGCCACCTGCCTCTGGCCTGAGGACGCCCAGGCCTGGGTCTGGTAGGAGCAGGTCCTCCTCCCCAGAACCAGGTGCTCCAGGCAGACACAGGCCCGTAAAGCTCTGTTGCCCTGCCCATGGGACCTGGTCCATGGCCCTGCCTGTCCACTTGGTCACAGGCACCAAACCTGGAAATTGGGCAGGTGGGCTGAAATGGCAAATGGGCTAGGGCCTACCTCAGGGAACTAAGGAAGGGTGACCTCACGAGGATCAAAGAGCCCAAGTGTGCCTCCACCTGCGGGGGGCCTGCCCCAGGGTGCCTGGCCACAGAGCACACCCCACCCCACCTTCCTGATGCACTGAAGGCCACTTTGCACAGGAAGAGCCCACCAACATCCTCCGACACCTGAGGCATATCAGAAGGGCTGGCCCTCTAGCCCCAGCAGAAGGTCACAACACGCTGAGCCCAGGTGCACCCCAGAGGGCTCCCAGCTTTCCTTGGGCCTGGCCAGCTTCCATGGGCTTTGGAGCAGAACTTTCCTTAATCTGCTCAAAGCACTGAGCCTCGGGGCTCACCTCTCCTGATTTCAGACAGCCCTCGCTTCTAGTTCTGAGATGGTGACCACTGCTTATGTGAGCAAAGGCTGGTCCCTCCCAGGCTGAGTCTGTTTTCCCATCTAAGTGACACGTATGGGCTGAGCTCAACATGCTGAGGGTCTGATAGCCTGAAGTTCCCATGACACTGGCCAGCAGTAGCTGGGACCTCTTGTGCTTTGTCCCAAGGGACCAGCAGGGGACAAGGGCAGGGACGGACAGGGCTGCCCAGGGCCAGGGTGCCGGGTGGGCGCTCACCTTCGGCTTGGTGCTACGCTGCAGGACATCCAGGAGCTGTCTGCGGAAGCCTTCCAGCTGGGAGAGGCCAATCCTGTGGGAGGAGTTAGAATGGCATCAGCCGGGACTGGTCAGGGGCTAGAGAGGGGCAGGGGAGGGGGCAGGGGAGTAGTCCATGCGTAGCCTCCAGGAACAAGACCATTCTACCAAGGTCAGGGGTGGCGGGGAGTCTGCAGCTCAGCAGAGCAGAGCAGAGCAGAGCAGAGAGAGGCCATGCAGGGTGGGGCTAGCGCCCGTCCCTTGTCTTCTCACCACCAGGGAGAAAGGGCAAGGAGGGAGCACCGGGATCCCTAGGGGTCTAGGGACTGAGATGAGGCCAAGTGGCAAGGTCATAGCGGGAGGAAAGGAACTTGCCTGGGGACGAGGTCTTTGCCCAGAACCACAGCAGTGACAAACTCCTTGGAGTACTCCATAGCATCCTCACTGCAAGGGAAGCCCAGGTAGGAGCTCAGGCCACGGGGAGGATGTGGTGTCCCTGAAATGGCGCTCGGCCAGGAGCACACCCCCACTCCTACGCTCCAGGCTCCTAGGGAACTTGCAAGGCTGGGACAGGCCTCCCGGCCCTGTCTTTCCTGCCTACGAGGCTTTGCCAGGGTAGGACTGGGTCACGTGGCCTTTCACACAGCCCTCACCCGACTGACACTCTCCTCTTACTGGCCAGTCCCCAGCTCCCAGCCCGCAGCCCCAGAGCCCAGCCTGCCACAGCCAACTCCGAGACCCCAGCAGCTCACCTCAGCAGGCCCCCCGGGGGCGAGTAGGCAAAGCACTTGAGGGTCGGGTACTGTGGGCGCAGGAGGAAGGAGAGGATGGCCGCCGTGCCTGCACCCAGGGAGTGGCCCACCACAATCAGGCCGTAGTGCTTGGTTCCACGGCCCTGGGGATCAAGACAAGCCTGAGAGCCTGGCCCCACGCCAGCTCACTGACCTGGCTGATACCAAGGAGGCAGAGGGGTCCCCCCAGAGGCCTGGAATCATATCTGTGCCATGTGGACGCTGGGGCAGAGGGAGAACCAAGTGAGGTTCCCACAGAGTGACTGCTTAGGGGGTCTGTCCTCACCAGGGCACCCCAGTGGGGAAGCCCTCCCTGATCTGACCTTAACACTAGGATGGTTTAGCACTATTACAGCCACCTGGGCACCTGTCTCCATTCCTCCGCCCCAACGCCTAGCCTGGGGTCTCTGCGGCAGGGAAGGGGCAGCAGGCAGCACCAGGGGCCCGCCCAGCCAGGAGGGTGGTGGGCTGGGCTCCAGTCGCAGTCGAGCAGAGCAGCGCACCTTCCACCTGCTCGGTGGTTATTTTCTTTGCTGTTCTGTTCTTTATTTTGAGCTTCTCCATAAAATGTCCTTTGGACCCACGGCTGTGCAGCTGCGAGGCACAGGAGCCCCAGCGTTGGCTCGGGGCAGGCGCTCAGTGACTACGGGGACAAGAGGGCACCTCGGGGGAGCTGGTACCACAGGGGGCCCAAGGGACTGCACAGGGGCCGGGAGGCAGTAGAGGAGGGGAAGGCCACATTCACCCACGCTCTCCTGGCTCTGCTGCCCTGGAGGAGGACAAGCTGGCTGTCACAGGGCCCGGGGGCACGGAAAGCCACTCACCAGGTCTCGCCCAAAGGCCTGGGACAGGACCATCTCTTGTTCTAGCTTCTTCTTGATGTACTCAGCTGACAGCACCATGCCCTGGACCAGAGGAACACAGCAGGATGCTGAGAGGAGGCCTCCAGGGACCAGCAAAAGCAGTGAGCCACAGTACACTGGCCCTGGGCTGCCTATTGCCCACTTAGGTCCTAGTGTCAACCAGACTGTGGGGGCTGGTGGACACTTGAATGAGGAAACAGAGGCCCAGAGCAGGGGTGTCTGGGGCAGGCTCTAGGCTGGGTGCCAGGCAGGGCTTCCCGTGCAGGGCCATGACCTTCCAGACTAATCCCACCTCCCCCAGCAGTCTCTCCCATGGCCCAGTGAGCAGGAAGGACCCCAACAGCAGGCACCTGTAGGCTGGGGGTAGAGAAGGAGAGGGCCCTTGGGGACACTCGAGGCCAGTACCTTGTGGCCCAGCCAGGTGCCGCGGTGGCCCTCCACAGGGAGGCGCTCAGCATCACCTGTCAGGTCGGTCAGGGCGTCCTAAGGGAGAGAGGAGCAGGTGAGGGGGGTTTGAGGAGGCGAGGAGCAGACAGGCAGGCACCCCAGGGTGGGGGAGCCACAGGGGGCATACCTTAGGGGACAGGGTTCCCCGGATACTGATGACAACCTTCTTCTTGTCGTGGTCCACTGCCACATAGAAGGGGGTCTCATAGACCTAGAAAGAGCAGCTTGTGAGACTGAGGGCCCCAGGATGGGATCAGACTTGGGAAAGGGACCTCAGGACCTAAGCCCATATTCCTGGCTCCAATCAGGCTCCGCTGGCCCCTGAGCCCTAATCCCTCCCAGGGCCAGGACTCCTGGCAGTGGCTCTGTGCTCTGTCCCGAGCACAGGGGCCTCCTGCCTTCCTGACCCCTCTCTGACTTGTGCTGCCCGACTGTCCATCCCACTGCTGAGCCCAGATCCACCTCTGCCCCTCCCTGTGCTTCCACTCCCCCTTCCCTTACAGTGGGGCCAGCACTGGGTGTTGGGAGGGTGTCCACTCTCCTGGCCCCAGAGCTGGTGTGGGCCCAGGCTCTGGAGGAAGAGGGGGCTACCTCCTCACTGCCCCTAGGATGGCCTAGAGGCTGCAGGGCCAGTGCTGGCTAAGCTGAGGGTTCCCGCTGACCTGGAAGGGTGGCTTCTGTGTCCCAGTCCCTGAACTGCCTGCCCCGACCCCAGGCCCCAACTTGGCCTGTCCGCTGCCCAGCCCCTCACCGCGTCATGGCAGGAGGTGTAGACGATGTCCACCGCAGTCATGTTCTCATCCAGGAAGTGGCGCCGGATGGCGATGGCATTGCAGCCACAGCAGTTGTCTTCCTCAATGGTGACTCCAGGGGCAAACCGGGGCCGCGCAGGGCACAGACAACACCTGGTCAGGGGTAGGGGGCGGGCGGTTCAGGGCCAGGGAACCGCTGATGGTGCCGCTTTCTCCTCCCAGCCCCTCAAACCTACTCCAGTCGGCATCCCGCCCCACCCACCCTCAACACCCGGGTGACCTCACGTGGCCAAGGCCACTGGCCAGTTCCCAGTGCTCACTCCTTGTTCTCTTGGCAGCACCTGACCCCGTGGGTCTTCCCAGCTTGGCTGGAGGCCCCCCGCCCCAGGAGTGTTCTGTAGGCTGGGCCCCTGGCCCTTCTCTTCTGGCACCGAGGCCCCTTTCCTGCAGCTGCCCTGGCTGCTCTGCGTGCTCACCAGTCCAGAGCTGTTCATGTCAGGAAGTACCCAGGAACCTCCAGACCCACTCTGCCTCCAGGTGCTCCCATCCAACCACCCGTGCAGCATCTCCCCTCAGAGGCCTGATGAGGCCAGTCCCAGCTGCCCGCCCGCACCCCGTGGCAGCTGCCCTGGACTCTGCCATGCACCCCACTCAAGCACGCAAGTCTGGCTCTGCCTGCAGACTCCAAACCAGACCCTGCCTCCTTCCCTCCTCAGGCTCTCTGCCTGGGGACAGCACAGTGGCCTGCTGACTGGTCCCTCTCCCACACTTTCTCATGTTCTCCACTCAGTGGCAGAATGACCTGCTGAAGATAAGCCAAGCCTGTGACTTTTCCACTTATACCCCACGTGTAGCAACACGCTCCTGCCTACAGAGAACCTGGGTCCTTCCTGCCCGCCGGCCGGGGTCTCTGGCTGTGCCTCCCTCTCCTCTCCTCACTCATGCCCCCCTCCCCAGACCTGTTCAACGTTCTGCCTCAGGGAGGTCTTCGCTGGCCACCCCAGCGTTTCACCTCCCAGTGAGACACTCAGCCGAGCTCCTCCAAAGCCCCTCCACACACACGCTCCACATGTCCTTGTCTGCGTACTATCTCAGCAGTGAGTGCCACCGGGCAGGGTCTGTTCTGTGGGGGTCACAGCCATGTCCCCAACACCAACACCTGCCAGGCACAGACGGGGCTCCCCACAGAAGTGGGTGAATGAGTGCTGCATGGAGCACCCATTTGGGGATCACTGCTCCTTGGGCCACCAGAGGGAGCCAGCACCCAACAGATTGGCCTGGAGCCCACGGTGCACATGACAAGGTCTGCCAACTATCTTGAGATGACAGCTGAGATTTTATTAAGAACCCCAGATGTCCCTGATGCTGAGAGGCTTGTCCACTTCCAAAGCTGTACCTGTGGGGTTGCCACTTCCTAAAGGGGACAGGCCTCACTGAGAAACTCAGGGTTGAGGCAAGACCTGGGAGCTACAGGGTCGGTGTGGACACCACTCTGAGACACACTGCATCAGTCACTGGCCAGGAGGGAGCCCCCACTACCAGGTCACCACCCCCAGGCCAGGCCCGAGCTCCTACTCTCGGACAGCTGTCCTCTCCCCCTGGGCTGAGCATGAGGCTGCAACAGTGTGACCTAGAGATCTGGTCTGAATCCTTCGTGTCACTTCTGGATTCCGTGGGCCTGGAGGAGCCTCAGTTTCCTCCCATGGCTGTGCCCTAAGGCTGGTGTGAGGCCAGAGGTCCAAGACTCAGAAAGGGCCTGGTACACCACTGGTCATTAGTACATGTGGACTCCCCCACTCCAGTGAGGGCTGCTTCTAAACAAGGGTCTCTGAAGGCCAGAGGAAGCGACCAAGGGGCAGGGGTGGCAGGCTGGATGCGAGCAGCCCTGCAGTGTCTCTGAGGGTAGCACTGCCACCTTGGGTCTCTGAAGCCTGGGCACCAGCTCTGTGTCTGTGGGAGAAAGACCTGCCACATATCCAGGGCAGGGCTGGAGCCCCAGCTGGCCAGAGGGGCTGAGCACGGGCAGGCCTGGCTCTCATGTCCTGTTGGGGGGGAACTGCTGCCAAGGGAGAGGCCCAGGCCCAAGGGTGGTGGGCAGTCCCTCTTCCTCCAGCCACCTGGAGCCAGGCCTGGGACGGGCAGGCTGGGAGGCCGAGAAGAGCGCCCCGCCCCCTGGCCTGTCTGAGGGCCTTGGCTGCACACCTGGGCCTGGCATTGCCTCGCCTTCAGCCCACAGCCTTTACTGGGCCCACCCAGGGCCCGAGGACTCCGCATGCTCTCCGTGGGGCATGAAGAATGCACACGCAAATGCACACGACCCTGCTGCAGGCAGAGCGCCAGGGTCCTGCCTGCCAGGGACCCTGGATTCCACAGCAGCCTACGGGCAGGCGCCGCCTGTTTATAAATGAGAAAACCGACTCCAGGAGGTGTCCCCACACTGCCACGAGTGACGAAGCAGGGTCCGCCAGAACCCAGGCCTCTAGACTGCTGGCCCTGTGCTCCGCCCTGGCTGGGACTCCCACGAGGACAGGGCAGAGGGAAGAAATGTGCAGTGGGCAAAGAGGGAAAAGGCACGTGGTGCCCTGGTTACCTCTGTTCAGCTGCCAGGGGCCTGCCGAGAACCAAGTCCCAAGAGCCACCCAGCTTTCTGAAGAAAGAGCGGGCACTGCAGGTGGGTGTGGCTGTGGAGGGCCCAGGACAGGGGTGTTGAGGACAAGCTCCTGCCTCACATGCCAGCCTTTCTGGAACAGGAGCCCAGGGAGCTGTCCTCCTTCTACCTGGCACGGGCTGACAGCAGAGCCACCAAGGACGGGCGGCTTCTTCCTGGAGCCCTTCTCTGGCCCACTTAGGGCACAGAATACCCCCAGGACTGGGCTAAGGACAGAGGCAAGTCACAGGCTAGATCTGGGGCTGAGGCCCTCTCAGCTCCCTGGGAAGAGGGCTGGAGCCTGTCACTAAAGGGCCTTCCTGGGTTCCAGAGACCTCTGTGGATAGGGCCTCCCTCCCAAGAAAGTCTTTTCGGAAAGGCAGAGCACAGGAGGGAAGCCAAGAGCAGGGGAGACGTGGGCAGGAGGGAATGGTTGAGGGGGCAGAGGAAGAGCTGGAAGGGGAAGGGATCCAGCAGTGTAGACGCTGTATGGAATCTCATTTAGTCCTCTAAAAAAATTCCATGACGTATGGATCAACATCCCCATTTTACAGATGCAGAAACTGGCCCAGAGAGGTAGACCAAGGTGCTCAAGGCTGCTAGTGACAGTCTGGACAGCCGAGAGCTGTGATTCCCAAGCCCGTAGCTTTGCTGCTGGGGACTGACACAGAGGGGAAGGCTGAGGCCCGGCCAAACCCAGGAAGATAATCCGCTGGGGGGGAGATGGGGGGGAGGTGGAGGCAGGGCAAGGTCTGCTGCCGCCGCCGGTTAGTTCAGTGGGAGAGCCCACAGGCACTGGTTCATCTTCTTAGCACGCCCTGCACACTGGTGGGGAGGGAAGGCACTAGGTGGCTGGGGACGGGGCAGGATACTCACGAGCAGGACCGCGCTAGCTGGCAGAGGCCACAGGCGGGCTTTCGCATCAGGTACATGGGCCAGCCGTAGGCAGCCAGGGCGAAGAGCATGTAGTAGCAGACCTCTTTGTAACGCAGCATCTCGTGCTGGAAGACAGGGTGCAGGGGGGCTCTGCAGCCTCAGTCCAACAGTCCCAGAGATGGGAGCCTGGCCATGGCTCCCCAACAGGGAGGGGTGCACGGGCGGGGACAGTGTGGGACCCAGGCCTTGGAGGAGGGACCAAGCCTCTAGATGAAAATTGTATTTCCCTAATTATCTCCATGTAACCAGGACACGAATCTCTTGGGACCTGTCCTGTCGCTCCAATCTCAGAATTAACGATTTGGGGACAGAAAATCACTCAGAGCACTGGATCGATTTCCTCGCTTGTTTTCCCAAGAAGGAAGAGAGTGAGGGGCCAGGGGCAGCGTGGCAATCACCACCTCAGCAGTCAAGCCCAGCCAAGGGACTTTGTTGCTAGGGAATTTAACCCTGAAAGGCCCTGGAATCTCCAACACCCTCCAGAGTGTCTGGCTATAGGCAGCAGGGTGGGCCACACTGGGCAAGAAGTCAACACATCTCTCTGGCCCGCAGGTACCTGGTATGACTGACTCAGGGAGTCCCAGGCTCGGGCTGGAGGAGGGCCGTCTGGGGGAGATTGGGATCACTCTAAAGAAAGGCACCAGTTTAAAACCCCACAGGTCGGAGGCCTGTTGGCTGCTGCGGACGCCATGGTTGTTATCAGCACCAGGATAGAGGGAGGCGGGGAGAAAGGTGTCCCAGCAAAGCCTCCAGCAGGAGGCCTCAGCATTTAGAGGGAATTAGTCCTCTTGTAAAAGGTAAGGAGGGTGATTAGTCATCTTGTGAAGTGGAACAGGTAGTGCCTTAATCAGGGCCCAGAGGGGGAGCGCCCGCATCCTCTGTCTGCTCTCCAGGAATGAGCCAGGGAGCTGGAGAGGCAGTTACTCAACTCCAGAGCACCCTGCCAGCGGGCGGGGTGTTACCAACCTGTGCCACAGGCAGTGGGGACCCAGCCCCTCTGCCCAGGGCTGGAAAGCCTGTCTCCCTGGAAAGCAGAATCAGCTGATTCAAGAGGGTGTAAATGCTACTTTGGGGGGCAGAGACAGAAAGGGCTGGGGCCTGGGCTTTTGGGGGGGAGTACCAGGGATTGAACTCAGTGCCTTGTGAATGCTAGGCAAGCACTCTACTACCACAGAGCTACCCCCAGCCCAACCTGAGGCTCTCATAAATGATGAGACAGCCAAGGGCTGAGGCCTCTTGGTCACCCATGGCATTGTGCTGGGACTAGACTCAGGACTGCTCCTCTTCCTGTAGCTCGGGAAGCAAAGTGTGCCCAGGGCCATTTTACAGTTGCAGGGACAGGCTCAGAGGGATGAGGGACTTGCGCAAGGTCAAAGTGACCAGCCGTTGAGCAGAGGTGTGCCCAACTCGGCAGGGCTGTGGCTAGGTGTTAGCCGAGGCTGCACAGTGAGCTGGGTCAGGGCTCTGCTGCCACAGGGTGGCACCACCTTCTCCTGTGACATGCTGGATTTCCACTTAGGCACTTAGAAAAGGCTCTGTTACTAAAAGGCCTGGAAACCACAGTGCTACGCCCCGGTGCCTTTATGACAGCAGTGGCAGCAATGATATCCCAGCTCACCCTCGGGAGGTAGTTTGCCATCTCAAGAGGCCAGGGCCAAACGTCTTGGAGCCGGCTAAGGGATTCGGGGTTTTGCTTGTAGAGCAGCATGACATGGGGCTGGTGGGGTGGGACGGTGATCTGGGAGGAGGCTCCCTGGAGGGCTGAGCAGGAGCTGGTGGGCAGTAGTGTGGCCCACGCAGGAGGGCGGCGGGAGGTGTTTGCTCAGGTGATTCCGGCACAGGGAGGAGCTGGTGGGGGAGGTGAGACGTACAGGGAGTGACTTCTGACTCACCGAGTTCTTGAGGTCGAGGTACTTGGTGTTTCTGGTCACTGGCATCCCAGACAGGAAGGCCAAGATGTCATTGTTTGCCTGTGAAACAGGCATGTGAAGATGGGCAGTGGCACATCCCCACGCTCAGTCCCCAGGGCTCTGCCTGTTCCCAAAGGCCTGAGAGGCCCGAAGGAGCAGGTGGCTTCCAGCTCTTCCGAGACCCAGCCAGTGCTCCCAAACCAGAAGTGTCCCCATATTTTTAGTTGCTCCCTTTCTGCCCAAAGTATCAGACCCTGGGGACCTTCCTGACCTGTCCCGGGGGAAGGATTTTGTAAAGATGTGAGACCTGACTGTATGCTGGCAGGGACAGGGAATGGGACATGAGGATAAAGCAGGAGGCTGAAGCCCCAGCTGCTGTCACAACTGGGCCGTGGATTGGAAGTCTGGAAGAAGCACATGGCCCAGAAATGGAGGGCACTGAGCAGCAGCGGTGTGGCGGCTGCTGAAGTTCTGAGCTGGGGAAGGGGAGGCAGCGACCTCCAGGGCCTGTGAGGTGGGCAAGCCACGCAGCCAGAGCAGGGGCAGGGAGGGGGGCTGGCTGCAGAGGGGCTCACCTCGTCCAGCACCGCGTTGCGCTTGGCCCGTTGCCGCTGCCGGAGCAGCACCAGGCCAGCGATGATGTCGGATGGCACGATGTCGAGGTCCCGGAAAAACTCAGCAAAGAGGTAGGCGATTTCTGAGTAGGCATCCTATGAGGTCCGGGAAGGCAGGAGGAGTGGCAGGGAGACAGGGGGGACGCGAGACCAGGAGTGAGGTTCAGGGCAGTTCTACCCCTGCACTTCTGCAGCACCAGCCAACCTGGCCCCAGGTGGCCCTGTGCGGCTGGGACCCTCAGGGCCCTGACAGGACTGGCAGTAGCTATCTGGGACCACACTGGCCCTTCCTGCACCTCTTGGGCCGCTCCTCCCATGGGAGGTCCCAAGGCTTGCACCGCCTGCCACACACCGGGGCCACCTGGCCAGTTCCTCCTCTCTTTCCCTAGACGTTAGGAGCCACAGCCTGGCCGGTGCTGGCTTCTTTCTCTCTAGACTTTCTCTCAAGCAGAAAAGCCAAATGAAGTTCCTGGCTGCTTCTGACCACTAGCCATGACTCTGGAAGACTAAGGATTCTGTCAACCTCCGAGCCTTGGGCCTCCTCTCCTGCTGCCCAGGGGTCACAGGCCCAGTGGCTCCCCACAATGTTCCCAAGAAGGAGTATGATCATGGGCCAGTGCCCCCAGGCTTCCTCCATGCCCCTGGCCCAAGGACAGCCTGTGTCTGAGCCTCAGGGCAGGAAGCAGGGAGAGAGGCGAGTCCTGTGGGTTGGTGGGCTTGGGTCTCCCCTGCATCTTGCTTTGCTGGAGCGGGCCCATCTTCCCTATCTTGTCAGGAGAAGCCAAGGTGGGAACCCACTCATGACAACAGGTTCTGCCTCCCCCTGGAGTGTCTCGCATTCATAAGAGAGAGCCAAGCGGGGCTGGGGATGTGGCTCGAGCGGTAGCGCGCTCGCCTGGCATGCGTGCGGCCCGGGTTCGATCCTCAGCACCACATACCAACAAAGATGTTGTGTCCACCAAAAACTAAAAATAAATAATATTTAAAAAAAAAAAAGAAAAGAAAGAGCCAAGCGCTGCAATCTGAAACGCCCCAAGGGCTGAACGGCACCAGCGGCTGCTCAGCTCCAGCTGACCAGCAGGAGAGCTTGAGCCTCCAATCGAGGAGGACGGGAGTTCACATA